ATCTTACTTTTATTATAACTCATCAAAATCAGGGTATATTTTACACTTACAGTATATTTCCTTTCAAGATCAATCACATTTTAGGTGCTCAGTAGCCATATGTAAGTAGTAAATTCCCTCCTGAAGAACAGGCGTCTTGAGCAGCTTTCTCAAACTTTAATACTGTGATGGTAGGAGTGTCTCCACTATAATTTGTATTCAAAATTTGGGAAGGGATTAAGTCACCCTAGCTTCACCTTCATGAACAGATTAGTACGCACACAATGGGTAGAGGAAAGTAGTTTAGGCCCTTTTCTGTTTTTCTGTCCTTTCTGCCAAAGGAGCAGTGTTTCCTGCTTCTGGGAAGTGCAACTGCAGGACCGGTCCCCAGAGCAGGCAGTAGCCCTCAGCAGGCAGCCATCCTGCCAGCTCCCTGGTGGTGGGCTTCCCACAACTGAAGCAATGCTCCCTCATGAATGATTTCACAGTTGAAGATACTGCTCTGACAGCACAGTTGAACTAAGACATATACACGTGTGGAAAATCTTGATGGTCAGGTGAATGAGTTAATTCTGATGTGGTGGTTGGGATGCAGCCTGAGACACTTGACCGCTTACAGGCCCACGGTGATGTGAAGGCCTGCGGCTCACAGACCACCCTCTCTGGAGCAAGGAGGTAGGTGACTGTGACAAGATGCATGCGGTAAGCAAAGCATTTCCTTCTCTTTGCAAGTTAGTGAGTATCTTTCAATGAAAAAAAAAACTGATTATCTAATGATTTTTTTAAATGCATTTGGTACAGAGTCTACAGGGAGTACTAGGTAAATTGGACTTGTACTGATACTCCTGTTTGCAGCCTTCCAAGTGCTGGGACTACAAGTGTGTGACACCACAGCCCGTCTCAGTCATCTTCTCATCCTGGGGCAGTGCTGGCAAGGCACACTGGGGATCAAATCCCAGCTGCTGTGCTCTGCCTAAGCAAGTGCTTTAGTCCACTGAGCTATCTGGCTGGCCCCTGATCATGTAATGATTTATGAGCATATTTGAATTTGGAGCACTTTAATAACTTTCAAAATAAACAATATTTTATATCCAATTTTCAGAAACACTGTGATAATTCATTCTTTTTTTTTTTCTAAACTTGAGAAACTGCCAGCACGTCACCAAAATGTTTTTAAAAGAATGCACTTAAGCATAGGGTATTTGTAATTCTAACTTTAGGGACTTGAACATTAAACATTTTAATAACACAGACAATGGGGCTGCAAGGGAAATTTGACAATAATACTTCTGAAGCTTTAGTATTTAAAGGCATTCTCTGGTCAAGCAAATGAATATATAATGAAATCTCCAAAGAAAACACAAGGAGACATTTTTCATCTCCCCCAGTCATCCTATCTGAGAGATAAATAGAGTGAAGAGGTGGGCCTCAGGCCTATATTCCATAAGCATATAGACACAGAAATGTAACAGCTTCATGTGGGGAAGTAAATAATTCAAGAATTTGACGTTGTACATTGTTCTTCAGATATAAAGTTTAAGCACAACATAGATTTAGAATGCATGAGAATTTGTTCAAACTCATCATTGTTTTTATTTCTATAAATTTTTGCAAGTGGTTCACTTTTCATTTTATTCTCTCAGATAGAGTTATGTTTGTATATATATATATTATGTCATAGAACAGTGTGAAAGAAGTTGGTACAATGGAGAGTGCTCTCAGTCATTCCCAAGTGTGTTGAAAAGCTATGGAGCTTTCAAGATTGAAACTCAACTTACAAGATGAGCAAGTTCTCTGGGATCTTTCTGTGACTGCATTTTAAAATAGTTGCAGTGGTCTGTCTGTTGCCACTTATGTTTTCCACAGTAAACATGAAAGCCAAGATTCTAATTACAGAAATGTCTCTTTCTACACAACATAAAAAATGCATGCCAGAAGGTAAGGAAATAGAATCCTTATGAAATCCTTAACTTATAAATGTTTGTCATAGTTCTAAATTAAACTAAACAGGGCCAGCGAGATAGCTCAGAGATTTAAAGCACCTGCTTAGGCAAGCATAGGATTGGACCACGGCTCAATCCCCAACACACCATGCTGTGCCAGCCCTGCCCTCAGCGCAGGCTGAGCTGGACAAAAGTTAAATAAGTAAAAAAATTTAAAAAAATAAATTGAACTAAACATAGAACTATATAGAATAAGAGAATTTTAGCCTAGTAACAACTACCTAACCACTATCTTCAATATTAAATCAGGTAAATGAAAGATATAAAATGTAAAGGAAACTATAACACTTTGTAACGCAGTAGCTTTATGTCCTTCAGAAAAGAAGGGGTTTATGAAACAAAAGCCAAAAATATGAACTGCAGAGTAAATGTTTAAAATATATTAATCTGGCAACTAAAATGACTGATTTCTGACCAACAAAATCAAAATAAAATGGTTCATGATATTCTTTAATACATAAAGGAGTCAAAGGATTAATCAATGTCCAAGATAATAAAAGAAATTCCCACAATCTATAAGATAAGGAAGAATCACCCAGTTGAAAAAGAAAGATACCTCTTAGAAAGGAAATCTCAGCAGTCATTTAAGACGGCCAATCTGATTAGTAGTCATGGAAATGAAAATGAAAGTCAAAGTGACAGATTATTTATAATTTATCAGTGGGAATATTTGTTAATATCATAGTTTGGTAGAAATAAAGGTCAACCAGATCACCTCTACAGTATTTCATTTGGGTAAAACATGTTATAACCAGTATGAGCTGAGAAATAATTTTGCATTGTACTTGCAGTTACATATGTGACTCTGCCTCTGTAATTTCTTTATAAATTAAAGAAAAGTAATCAAATACTTATTTTATGTGTGTTTTCTGCCTGAATTATATTGCAGGTAATTCAATAAGTGACAATAAAAAGTTACACACACGAAGAATTCTAGCCAAAAATTCCAGATTAATGATAGAACTTTAAAAAAAAATCACCATTATGCAACTGTTAATGAAAATCTATAGGAAGTCTTCAGCATTGGATGCTTAAAACTATGAAAGGAAATTGAGGTGGAACTTTAGAATGACTAGGATGATGTTATCTGAACTCTCTGATCAAGCTCGGAAGATGCTGCATTGGAAGTACAGAAAATCACATGGCCTTACTTAGGATAAAATTGAAGCTGCATTTAATCAAGCCAGCTTACAGAAACGGAGACAGAGATAAACTGCCACAAAAAACAACAATTTTGTTAGTGAAACTGAGAATGTGAGTCATTTCAAAATAATAGTTTCTCCAACAAGTCAGTAGCAGAGAACATATTTTGAAAAAGAGGAACTACTATAAAGTAAAAGAAGTTGAAGAGAAAAATATAATACAGTACAATCTTATTTGAATTTGAATTGGTCAGGGCAAGTGGGAGAATTTAACATAAATCAATAAAATTTGAAAAATAACTGCTATGGTATTGTATGACATTAAGAAATTATGTGGTTTGTTATGATTAGGTCATATTTTTTTCTATAAAATGTTATAAAAATCAGACAAACATGTTTGCCATTTAAATAATCAATTTCCAGTTGCTTTAACATAAATAAAGCCATGAAGGTAGTAGAATCAAGTGTTTTAAACAAATTATTAATAATGAAGAAAAGGCCTAGAATAACATCTGAATTTTGCCTTCATGCATATATAATTTTATTACTTAAATGTATTTTTAACTAACATACAACAAAACTTGCACAGGTTAATAGAGTACCATGTGAAGTTTTTATACTTTTTACATTGCTCAGTACTTAAACCAGTCTAATCATATCTACCTCCTTGAATGTTCATCATTTCATTATGGTGAAAATACTCATAATAATTTATTCTAAGTTTTGAATCATACATTATATTATTGCTTATCTACTGTCACTGTACTATTCAACAACACACTAGGACTTCTTATTTCTATATAACTGTTGCTCAGTACCCATGAGTCAATCTCTGTCTCTCTCCTCCTCTCCCCTCTCCCCACCTTTTGGTAATCTTTATCCTATTACCAGCTTCACTGAGATATATCTGTTGGATTCTACATTTGGTTGAAATTATGCTGTACTTGTCTTTCTGTTCTGTACTTATTTAAATTACCATAATGATCTGTAGCTCTTTGTGCTACTGTAAATGACAGGATTTCACGCTATTTTTTGGTGGTATTAGGGATTAAAACCATGACCTCACATATGAGAGATAAAAAGTCTACCACTGAGCTACATCCCCAACCCAGGATTTTAGACTTTTATGATGGAGTAATATTTTGCTTTACAAATGTAGTAAATTCTTTTCTCTATTTATCAGCTGATGGACCCTTAGTTATCCCCCATGTCATGGAGATATGAATAATGGTGTAATAAAAAGGGAGTACAGACATGTTCTTGACATAGTTATTCATTTTATTTGGGTAAACACCCAATGAAGAGATTAGTGGATCTTATGGAAATTCTATTGTTTAATGTTTTGAGCAGCCTCCATACTATTCTCCCTAAAGGCTGTGCTAAATCACATTCCCACCAACAGCATGTAAGTATCCTTCTTTCTATGTACTGGGATGGGGAAGCCAGGAAGAAGCAAGTGTGAAGGAATCCCAGAATATGGCTGTGAAGAGACAAAAGAAAGATGAGCTGGTAAGAAGCTGTCTTGTCTTTTGACCAAGGAATTGGAAAGAGGTTGTCAGAAGGACTGACTTCAAAGCTTCTAGTCACAGTCCCAAGTTGTACAAGTGCCTTATGAGGTTAGTGATTTTGATATTCTATTTAACATTTAAAAAGAATGCCACTGAGCATTGACTTACCTTGTCTCCAAAGAGTTTTCTTTCGTAGACTGAGTAAAATGCCTTTATATGCCTGCCACTTTGGAATTTAACCACAGAAGACCTAACACACATCTACTACATGTACACTAACATTGTAGACATTGTAGACACTATACAGAGCATGAAACAACAATGCCTCCTCCTTGCCTGTAAAGGGACAAGAACTGTGTACAATTTACCTCAGATCTGAAGGTCGTGGAAGGAGTCTTTTTTTCCCACTAAAGTAGACTTCAAAATCTTCAGTCTTTAGCCTGTCAGCGTAGTCAATGTATCCTGACACTTCTTGTCCATAGGCATTTTTGTCACGAATGAAGATCACGGTCTGGTAGCATAGACAAAAGGCAAGAGAGGAAAAATGAAAAAGAGTCATTTGAATTCAGTGTGTATAATAACAGGGGCTATGCCTACCGAGGGCTTATTCTAGGACTCATCTTTACAATGATCCTATCAATGATTTTTAAAGATAAACAAATTGAGAGAACATTAACTCAATGCATACATAATATGTATTTACAGTAATTTAACAACATTGATAAGCAACTGTTCCTGAGTATTTTCTAAGAAGACATTAAATGTTTGAAATGTATTTATGTTATTGTTTTCATTTTGGTCACCAGTGTCCACAAAAGAAAGTTAAAAACAGTTTGCTTCCCAAGAACCTTTTTTTTTCTCCCAAGATCTTAGAGTCAGTGACAATACATCAATTCAAACACAGTTTCATGCATTTGTTCTTTTAAATTCTGCATTATTTTCTACTTTATATTTCCTGCCAAAAAGATATAAGTGGAGTCTTTTAAAATTTTTGTTTTATTAGTACATGCTTTCCATGCATGAAATTAACTTTTATCTTAGGGAGTAGGTGCAAGTACACAGTGTATCTTTATTCTCCTTTTCATTCTTACTCTCTTTCCTGCCTTAATCTCTAGAACCAATTTCCCATTTTCATTTTTATTGTTAATATCATTATTTACACTTTGTATTTATGATATAATGTTTGCATCATTGTGGGCATTTAGTACATGTTCATGAAACATTATAAATCTTTTTATTCCCTGCCCTTGGACTCTTAGATCCTCTCCAGTTAGCTCCTAGCTTCCTCCTACAGCAATTTGTTTTGCTTTTAATTACACTTTGCCTCACTCAAATGGGAGCTACCACACAGTATGAAGGTATTGTATCTGATTTAATCACTTAATATTATGTTTTTCAAGTGCATCCATTTTCTAGAAGTGTCTGAATTATTATTTATGGCTGAAAAGTATTCCATAATATATAGATACCATTTTTTCTTTATCCATCTGTTGATAGACATCCAGGTTTATTTAAGGATTTGACTATTGTGAATTGTGTTGCTGTAAACATTGGTATACACATATCACTGCAATATGATATCCTTAACTCTTTTGGGAACATTTATAGAAGGGACATTGCTGGACTAAGTGGAATTTTTAATTTTAATTTTAGTTCTTTGAGAACACTTCACGATGATTTCTGTAATAGTTGTCTTACTTTACATTCCCAGCAACAATGTAGAAGGATTCCTTTTTCACTGTAGCTACACCAGCATTTATTAGTTAAGGAACATTGCCTTTCTTCTGGTATAAGATGAAATCACAGTATTGTTTTCATTTGCATTTCTCTAAGAGCCAGAATGTGAAACATCTTTTCAAGTGTTTATTGGACATCTATATTTCTTCATCTTAGAAATATATATCCATTTCACATGACATTTGTTTTTGTTGGGCCTTTTATTTTTGATAGTCCTTTTTAGAGTTCTTTATATATTGTACATATTAGTACTTCATCTGAAAAGTAACTGGCAAATTCCTTGCTCCTTCTTTAGGCTGTCTCTTCAATCTGTTGATTGTATCTTTTGTTGTGCAGAAGATTTCTAATTTGATATAATTCCTTCGTTTGTTCTGGCTGACATTTCTTATGTAAGTGTTGTTGTTCTCAAAAAGTCCTTAATTGTACCTATGGCTCCATGTGTTTTGCCTCTTTTGTCTTCTAGTAGGTTCATTGTATCTCTTTTAACACTTAGATCTCAGGTCTATTTTGATTTTAGCTTATTACATGGTGATAGATAAGAGCCCAGCTTCAATTTTCTGCATATCTCCATATAGATGAACAGTTTTCTCAGCACCATTTGTTAAATAGGCTATCATTCTTTTTATGTAAAAAAGTTGAAACAGAATTTCATAAAAATAATAGGAGTGTTCCTGGCGTAATTCTGTCCTGTGCGTCTGTTCTGTGGAGCAGTAGTACTCATTCCCTTCTGTCCATGTTCTTTCCCACCTAACTGTGCACTATCACTCCATGGAAGATTTGATGGATATGAACATGAGCTCCCTGAGGCCCCAGAACTGTCTCTACGGTTGTGAACTAAAGGCCAACAAAGATTACCACTTTAAGGTGGGTAATGATGAAAATGAGCACTGATTGTCTTTAAGAGTGGCCAGTTTAGAGGCTGGTGCAAAGGGCGAATTGCACATTGTTGAAGCAGAGGCTATGAATTATGAAGGCATCCAATTAAAGTAACACTGGCTACTTTGAAAATGTCTGTACAACCAATGATTTCCCTTGAGGGCTTTGAAATTACACCACCTGTTTGTTGTCTTAAGTTTGAAGTGTGGTTCAGGGCCTACCCATACTAGTGGACAGCATTTAGTAGCTGTGGAAGAAGATGCAGTCGGAAGAGAAAGTAAAACTTTTTTTTTTTTTTTTGGTACCAGGGGTCCAACTCAGGAAAACTCTTAAGTATATCTGGAAAGAGATCTGCCCCTGGAGATGATAGCAAGCTTCCACAGAAAAAAGTAAAACTTGCTGCTGATGAAAATGATGAGGATGATGAGGACTAGGATGAGGATGATGACGATGAGATTTTGATGAAGAAGAAACTGAAGAGAAAGCTCTGGTGAAGAAATTGATACAAGATACTCCAGCCAAAAAATGCACAAAAGTCAGGGCAGGCTGAATAGCTTAGTGGATTAAAGCACCTGCAAGCAGGCACAGGGGCCAGGGGTTCAATCCTGGGGCCTGCTGTGCCGGCACCACCCCTGGGGTGCTGAGTTCAACCCCTGATACCAAAAAAAAGTGTTACTTCCTCTTAAAGCTTTCTGTCTTTTTTCATTTCTGTAACAGTTGTTATCTGGCTATCCTTTTTATAATGCAAAGTGAAAACTTTCCTTACCGTGTTTGATAAATGTTGTCCCGATTTCATTGCCAAGAATGTGTTGTCTGAAATGCCTGTTTAGTTTTTAAAGATGCAACTCCACCCTTTACTTGGTTTTAAGTATGTATGGAATGTTATAATAAGACATAGTAGTGCTGGTGGTCAGACATGGAGATGGTAGGGAGACAAATACACATGTGAAATAAACTCAATATTTTAATAAAGTAAAAACAATAATAGGAAAATAATAATAATTAGAGAATTGCACATTATAATCTTTAAAATAGTTGCTCAGAGTACAAGATATTGCAAAAAAATTTCTCCAATCTACATTAACGTAAGTCTCACATTTTAATGAACTAAAAGATACTAATAGCATAACTGATTTGCATTTTTCCCCTTTTCCCTATTAATCTTCACCCTTTCACCCATCATGTTTCCTTTTTCCTTTTGCATACTTTCTTCCATTTCAAAATGTCTATTGTACATTTTGTACTTCCTTTAGTTTTTTACTTTCTTATGCCAGGAAGACAATATTATATCTACACGTATCTGAGTACATTCTCAGGTTGTATCTATTTTTCTATAAAAGTCTCAAGCTCATCCTTCTTTATAGTTGAGTACTACTCCACTGCATAAAAATACCAAATCTTTTTTTTTTTTTATCCATTCTTCAGTTTATGGGAGTTTGGGTTGTTTCTAATATTTAGCGATGGAAAATTGTATTGCAGTAAACATGATTATACATATATTGCTGTGGAATGATGTTTTTAATTTTCCTGGGAAGATATCCAGAATGGAATCTCTAATTCAATTTTTTTTTGAGGAATTGTCACATAGATTTCCATAGTACTTGTTTCTGTTTACAGTCGTATAAACAGTGGAGAAAGTCCCTTTTTCCCCACAACCTCCACAACATTTGTTATGGGTTGATTTATTGATAACGGCCAAATAGCTGTTCATGTCTGGGGATGTTTCTGTATCCTCTATTCTGTTTCCTTATCCATATATCTGCTTATGTCACTGCTGTTTTGTAGTTTAATTTGAAATCAGGTACTGTGAGGCATATAGCTTTACTTCCCTTTCTCTCACAACCATGAGAATAAAAACCCTTTGAAAATCAGTTCCATATTTTAAAATTTATACAATATTTTAACAACACCATCAATTGTATTCTTTTAAATATATCTTGTTTATATTACTCTCTTCACCAATCTTATTAAACACCATCTACATGTTCAGTACTGCTGTACTTACTACAGAATAATTCGGACCAATGAGGAGACAGCTGATAGATGTACACAAAAAATGTTTCCATTGAGTAATACATGCAGGAATGTAGTAAAGAGCATAGTTATCTACCAAAAATTTGATAATAGTTGCTTTGGTTTACCTGGAAAATGCCCCCCTGAGACTTCCTGTGCTTCTAGGTAGACAAAGACAATGTAGTAGAAAAGGCTCTAAAGAGGAAAGGAGGAACACAGATGGCAAACTACAGCCTTCTTCTTGTCAATAGACATTTATCCAGTGTTTTAAGGGGGAAAAATAAGAAAATAACCCTATTCCAGCTGGAAAAGTTCATAACATATTTTCAAATTTTAGAAGATAGAATTTCTTCACATAGTTCTATGTTTAAAAGAAATCATGAGATTTCTTTTTTCAAAAATGAAAAAAAAAAACCCTTCATTTTTGTTTTCACCAGTCACTGAATTGTTGGATTTTTCAAGCAGTTGACTATAGGGAGCACTAACCAGGGTGTGATCGTTAAGTTGAACTGTTAACTTGATTGGCTTAGGAGCTGCCTAGGATATATTTTTTTCTATTATTTTCTTTTTTGTTTTTTAAAGAGAGTACAAATTAGAATTAAAACAAAACATAAGTGATACAACATCTCACTTAACAAAATAATATCAATTACATAGTATTTGTTGTAATACATAGTATAGTCTTCCAGGAATTCATATTACCATATATATGCACACAAATTTACAAGAAGTAAGAAATATATGAGAAATTAATAAGAAAAAAAGTACAAACAATTGAAAAAAGGAGACAAAACAATTTAAGTATTATCTGCTGTTTTCAGTAGAGCCACAGAAGTGCACAGTACAGTTGTCCAAAAAATCCTGCTTACATACACAGATATATCT